TTATTGTTACCGCTACGACGGCGACGACGACGACGACGACTACTACTACTACTACTACTATTACTACTACGACTATTACCAGTAGTTGTTTGGGCCACTTGGATGTTCGAACGCCCCCTTTCCATCGTGCACGTTTACGTTTGTAGTTGTTCGTTCGTGCTTGTAGTTGTCATTGCTCACCCGCCATGGTCATCCTGCTTTATTTTTGTGCGTAGCCTTCCGAAGAGGGGGGGGGAGAGGGAACAAGAGTGGAATAGAAATTGAGAGACGGAGAAAGAGAGAGAGATAAAGAGAGAGAGAGAGAGAGAGAGAGAGAGAGAGATACCGCGCGTGTTTGCTGCATGTTCGCCCACCTTCTCAACATGAAGCCCCCGCATCCTTCACCATCCCACAAGTGGAAGCCTGACGGAGCCCCGTATACTGAATGGGTGGGTACAACGGTGGCTTGTCCAAACGAAACATCACCAAAAGGGTTTTCAGCAACGAACCCTTCACATTCATCTCTGTCGTAAGGAACCCTTGCTGGAGGAATCTGTCGTGGCGTTCCCTTTCTGAACGAGAATCGCAACAGGGAGTTCTCTTTCAAGGAACCCATATTCGAGACATTCCTGCGTGGACGGGCCATGGGCAATGGGTATTCAACGGATGCATGTTGGAAGACCTCCTTGTTAAATGCTTCTGCTCAATCGGAATAGCTGACCCGATGCGCCTGATGATAATGCTCAGGGGATAATTCGAGTTTGGGCTTCTGGGGGGGGGGGTCGTAGCGTTTCCCCGACAACTCGCATGTACGGATGGTCGGATGGTCGGTGCACGGATGTACGGTGTACGGAGGGTATTCGTTGTAGCGGTCGCCGTCGTAACAGCATTCGTGAAATTAGAAGTCGCTGTCGCACGAGTAGGAGTCGTAGTGGTGGTAGTATTGGAGATAGAAGTGGTAGTAACAGTCGTAGTAGTAGTAGTAGTAGTAGTAGTAGTAGTAGTAGTAGTAGTAGTAGTAGTAGTAGTAGTAGTAGTAGTAGTAGTAGTAGTAGTAGTAGTAGTAGTAGTAGTAGTAGTAGTAGTAGTAGTAGTAGTAGTAGTAGTAGTAGTAGTAGTAGTAGTAGTAGTAGTAGTAGTAGTAGTAGTAGTAGTAGTAGTAGTAGTAGTAGTAGTAGTAGTAGTAGTAGTGTAGTAGTAGTAGTAGTAGTAGTATCGTAGTAGTAGAGTAGTAGTAGTAGTAGTAGTAGTAGTAGTAGTAGTAGTAGTAGTAGTAGTAGTAGTAGTAGCAGTAGTAGTGTAGCAGTAGTAGTCGTAATAGTCGTAGTCGTAGTCGTAGTCGTGGTCGTAGTCGTTGTCGTGGTCGTCGTATTCGTCTGCGTGGTAGGAGTCGTAGCCGTAGTGGCAGTAGCGGTTGTAGTAGTAGTTGTAGTATTGGTGGTAGCAGTAGTACTAGTAGTAGTAGAAGTAGCAGTAGTAGTAGTGGTAGTAGTAGTAGTACTAGTAGTAGTAGTAGTAGTAGTAGTAGTCGTAGTAGTAGTAGTAGTAGTAGTAGTAGTAGTAGTAGTAGTAGTAGTAGTAGTAGTAGTAGTAGTAGTAGTAGTAGTAGTAGTAGTAGTAGTAGTAGTAGTAGTAGTAGTAGTAGTAGTAGTAGTAGTAGTAGTAGTAGTGGTAGTAGTAGTAGTAGTAGTAAAAGTAGTAGTAGCAGTTGTAGTATTCGGGGTAGTCGGGGGTAGTAGTACTAGTAATAGTAGTAGTAGTAGTAGGAGTAGTAGTAGTAGTAGTAGTAGTAGTAGTAGTAGTACTAGTAGTAGCAGTCGTAGTAGTAGTAGTAGAAGTAGTAGTAGTCGTACTACTACTACTACTACTACTACTACTACTACTACTACTAGTATTGCTAGCATGAGTCGTCGTCGCAACAGTGGTGGTAGTTCTAGTACTAGTAGTAGTGCAGCAGTGGGAGTAGTAGTAGTAGTAGTAGTAGTAGCAGTAGTAGTAGAAGTAGTGGTGGTAGTAGTGGATTTTAATCGTATTCGTAGCAGCCGTAGTAGTAGTAGTAGTAGTAGTGGTAGCAGTAGTTGGGGTAGTAGTAGCAGTACTAGCACCAGAAGCAGCAGTAGTAGTAGTAGTAGTAGTAGTCGTAGTTGTAGTCGTAGTGGTAGTAGTGGTAGTAGTAGTGTCAATAGTAATTGTTGAAAATCGTGGAAGAGGTGAAGCATTAGTTGTGGTGTCAGTAGTAGTAGTAATTCCCGTTGTCGTCGTAGTCGTAGACGTCGTAGTTTTAGCAGCAGTAGTAGTAGTTGTATTATGTGTAGCCGTAGCGATCACAAAGTAGCCGTAGTAGTATTATTAGTAGATATAGTATCACTATGAGTAGTAGTACTAATAGTAGTAGGAGTAGCAGTAGTAGTAGCAGCCGTAGTAGTAGGAGTAGTAGTAGTAGTAGTCATAGTAATGGTAGTAGTAGTAGTAGTAGTAGTAGTAGTAGTAGTAGTGGTAGCAGTAGCAGTAGTATTAGTAGTAATAGTACTGGCAATATTCTGACCCGCAGTAGTATGAATAGTAGCGGTCGTAGCTGTAGCAGAAGTAGTAGTAGTAGTAGTAGCAGTAGTAGAAGTAGATGTGGAAGTAGTAGTAGTCGTAGGAGTTGTAGTAGTAGTAGTCGTAGTCGTCGTCGTAGTAGTAGCAGTAGTAGTAGCAGAAATAGTAGCAGAAGTAGTAGTAGTAGTAGTAGTAGTACTAGTCGCAGTCGTAGTCGTAGTAGTCGTAGTAGTAGTCGTATCAGTCGTCGTTGTCCGAGTAGTCGAAATATTTGTCGTAGTCGTAGTAGTAGCGGTTGTAGTCATAGTAGTAGTGGTACCAGTAGTATGATCAGTAGTTGTACGAGTGGTAGTATTAGTAGTTTTAGTCATAGTATCAGCAGGAATAGTAGTAGTAGTAGTAGTAGTAGTAGTAGTAGTAGTAGTAGTAGTAGTAGTGGTAGTAGTAGTAGTAGTAGTACTCCTACTAATACTACTACTAGCGGTCGTAGTAGTAGTAGTAGTAGTAGTAGTAGTAGTAGTAGTAGTCGTAGTAGCATCAGACATTGCAGTGCTAGTACCCGTGGTAGAAGTATTACTACTACCGCTACCACTACTACTACTACCACCATTTCTAGTAGTAGTAGTAGTCGTGATTTTCGCCGCAGTAGTAGTACGAACAGCCGTCGTTGTCAACGTCGTCGCTTTTGTAGTAGCATATGTTGTCGGAGTACTTGTTCTGGGACTAGTAGTAGTAGTAGTAGTAGTAGTAGTAGTAGTAGTACTGGTAGTAGTAGTTGTTGTAGCAGTATCAGTTGTAGTAGACGTAGTAGTGCTCGTAGTCGTAGTTGTAGTAGTACCAGTAATCGTCGTCGTAGTATTGGTAGCAGTAGTAGTGGTAGTAGTAGTAGTAGTAGTAGTAGTAGTAGTCGTAGTCGTAGTAGTAGTAGTAGTAGTAGTAATAGCAGTAGTAGTAGTAATATTAGTAGTCGTACTAGTAGGAATAGTAGTAGTAGTAGTAGTAGTAGCAGTAGTAGTCATCAAGTAGCAGTCGTAGTAGTAGTAGTAGTTGTTGTTGTGTTTGTTGTTATTGCTGTTGGTGGTGGTGCTGTTGTTGTGTAGTCGTACTATCAGTAGGTGTAGTAGTAGTCGTAGTAGTACTATCAGTGTTAGTAGTAGTAGTAGTTGTAGTAGTAGTAGTAGTCGTCGTCGTCGTAGTAGTAGTAGTAGTAGTAGTAGTAGTGGTGGTAGTAGTGGTAGTAGTGGTAGTCGTAGCGGTTGTAGTAGTACACGTAGTAGTAGCAGTAGTAGTAGTAGTAGTCGTCGTCGTAGTAGTCGTAGTAGCAGCAGCAGTAGTAGTAGTAGTAGTAGTAGTAGTAGTAGCAGTAGTAGTAGTAGTAGTAGAAGTAGTAGTAGAAATCGTCGTAGTAGTAATCGTAGTAGTAGTAGCAGTAGTAGTAGTAGTAGTAGTAGTAGCAATCGTAGTAATAATAGTAATAGTAGCAGTACTAGTATAGGTCGCAGTCGCAGCATCATTCAGGGAAGGGGACGGAGGAGGGAGAAGGGATCCCCCCTAAAAAAGTTCTGGATGTTTCACCTTCCTTCTTAACAAGAAATTGTGTCAGGGAGATGTTCAAATCCTCGCGTGTGGGAGCTCATTTCGGTGATTTTCCCAGCGGTAGTGAAAACTGGAGATTATAAAGTTCGCCCGTGGAGGTGTGAGTATAGGATGTAAAATTATCAGTATTGCAGGGGGGTAGGGGGGGATGCTTTGGTATCTGGGGCACGGGTTGCTGATGATACGTTTTTCCAGCTGAATTTTTCTGATGGCATCCCGACGCAGGATCTTTAACACAGGAATCCGCCATAGCAGCCCGACGCGATCCGATTTCCCGACTCGATGCTGACCGATCTTGGGCCCTCCTTGGCCGCCGGGGCCCTTGGTTGGACGCCGGCCTTCTCGTCGGCGGCCGCCAGTTGTCGACCTGCCTTGTTATCCGACGTGGCGAAATTGAGACATCTTGGCAATCATTTCCGGAGCCATTACCCAATTTTCCTGCGCCGTCGTCCGAGCAATGTCTATATATGAGTGCCCAGGGCACCAAACGGGGCGGAAAAAGCCGAGTTCGAACAAATTGCGACGCCAGGAGCCCAGACCCCGACTTCGAGGTCTGTTCATAACGTCGGCCCCAAGAGGTCTCGACTCAAACTGCTGCGGCCCCCTGCAGCAGTGGGAGGAACTATGCCTTCCAAGCTCTGGTCCTTAAAAGCTCCTCGCGCACGAGCTGGGCCAGAGGATTTGCAGGAGTCTCGGGAAGGATTGGCGATCTCTTGGTGCTCCTGGGGGGCCTACCCTGCTGGGCCCTGGCCAGCTGTGTGACGCCCCCTTGGTGGAAAGGTCTCTGCTGACTCTACATATGTGGTAAGCCCTCGGCTGTCTCGCTCTGCATAGGAGCCTCACCTGTGGCAAACCAGGAACCGCGTGGGCCGCTCCCACTGCTCATGATCGAAAATGTCGTGCTCTGTGAGGTCCGAAACAAGGTCTGACAGGTGCTTGCAGTGACCAGGGCAGAGGGACGCATGGAACTGTTGAGGAGGAGGAGGAACACGAGGAGGAGGAGGAGGAGGAGGAGGGGGAGGAAAAAAGGTAGGAGGAGGAGGAGGAGAAGGAGGGAAAAAGGGAGGAGGAGGATGGAGGACGGAGGATGGAGGAGAAGGAGGAGGATGGAGGATGGAGGAGGAGGAGGATGGAGGAGGAGGAGGAGGAGGAGAAAGGAGGAGGAGGAGGAGGAGGAGGAGGATGGAGAAGGAGGATGGATGAGGATGGGCGACGTGGCTTTCTCGTCGGCGGCCGCCCGCGGTCGGTCGGCTCCCAGGTGGCCCCCGAGCCTGCGCCGCAGCCTGCGGCGCCGGACGCGCAGAAGGCGGCGCCGCCGGAGCGGCAGCGCGCTGCGCGGCATGCGCCGCGGGAGCGCGCCGGCTCCCCACCGCGCGTGGTGAGAAGTCATGGCGCCCTCCTCCTCCTCCTCCTCCTCCTCCTCCTCCTCCTCCTCCTCCTCCTCCTCTCCTCCTCCTCCTCCTCCTCCTCCTCCTCCTCCTCCTCCTCCTCCTCCTCTCCCTCCCCCTCCAGAATGTGACAGTTACGTCTCACTTGTACCAGTCCCTGCTGTGCCCGTTCTCCACCTACGCCACGGTCCAGCTGCAGAACCTCAAGGCCATGGGTATGGCGCCCAGCAAGGACATGAGCGAGCAGCTGGACACCAAGACGGAGATCGAGCGGAAGGGGAAGTTCGGGCGCGTGAAGGACGACGACGGGATGAAGACGATCAAGCATCTGGGCAAGAGGAGCGGCAGCCTCAGCGAGAAGGGCATCTTCGTGGGCAAGTTCGAGCAGAATGCCTGCGCGGCGAAGGATCTGCCGCCGCCTGCGGCAAGGATGCCCAGCTTTCGGTCTCAGGCGCCGGAAGTGGTGTTCAAGGGGGAGTTCAAGGGCCGCGGGGAGGAGAAGGAGGAGCTGGTCAAGCTGAACCAGGTGCTGAAGACCCCTCGTTCTCCGCCGCCTTCGAGGTTTCCCAACGCCCCATGGAGGAAGAGGCGCGCAGCTACGGGAAGCAGGAGTCAGCGTTTGTAGAGGACGGCGAGGACGACAAGCTTGCCGAGAGCGCGCCGATCTTTTTCGACATCGCCGAAGGGGATCCTGAGTTTCCCGACCTCCAGGGACCAGTTCAGCCTCGTGAAGAAGGAGGGGAAGCTGGGGTCCGACAGGTTGTTCACGAACCTCAGGTTCTTGCACGGGATATTCCTGATGAAGTTCATAATTCATTTCCTGACCAGGTGGATGGCCAGAGCGAGGATAGCATGGATGGGCACTTTTGTTGCGACGATTCTTCGTCTTTTGCTGCAGCGGTGCGTGCTCAGAGTGCGATTTCAGCTTCAGCGAGCGGAGGGTCCTTGCGGGCGTCGGCTGACGACGTCCGCTCTGCGCTGAAGGACGTCATTGTCTTCATGAAGAACAAGTCCAAGGTGGTGTCAGCGCGTCAGTGGAAGAGGCTCGAGGCGAGGTTCCGTGCAGCTTGGTGGCGCGCCTCGCCCATGTTGCAGGAAGCCTATGTTTCTCTTGCACGTGCTGGCGAAATGGACTTTCACGATCTCGTCACGTGCTTCGAGGTCGGTGTGGAGCACGAGGAGAGTGCGGGTGCCTGTTCGAGCTGAGGATCTTACGCTTTGGCTTCAGCGTTACGGCGCTTTCTGCTCTGAGGCGTCGCTGTTCTGCGTCGTAGTCGGCTTCGTGCTTTTCTTCATTTTCAAGCCGCTCGTCGCTTTCATGAACTTCAAGGGCAAGTAGGGGCCCGTGTTTCCCCGCCATTTTCTTCCGCCCAGCTTTAACCTGCCTGCAGAGTTTGGCTTGGCGATGCACACAGTGAAAAATCCTCCTCCTCATCCCTTCTCCTCCTCCTCCTCCTCCTCCTCCTCTCCTCCTCCTCATCCTCCTCCTCCTCCTCCTCCTCCTCCTCCTCTCTCCTCCTCCTCCTCCTCTCCTCCTCCTCCTCTCTCCTCCTCCTCCTCCTCTCCTCCTCCTCTCCCTCCTCCTCCTCCTCCTCCTCCTCCTCTCCCTCATCCTCCTCCTCCTCTCCCTCATTCTCCTCCTCCTCCTCCCCTCCTCCTCCTCCTCCTCGCAGAGCGGATCTCGGTCGGAAAACCGTTGGATGGGCCCCGGAGTGTCCTGGAGAATGTCGTTCCGGAGTGCGAGGTGAATGTCGTGCGGATGTTTCCTCTGGGCCAGGAGTGAAGACGAAACAGAACATCCACGCGAAAGGCACTTCGTTTTTCACTCGACGTTTCGGGGTTTTGCAGTGACAGAAATTCACGCAGAAATCCGCTGCAGCACGTCTGCAAGGTCGGCGCAGTGAGAAAAGTCGGCCCAGGGATCCGAGGCTCCAGTAAAACATTTGACTTTTTTGCTATTTGCGGCCACCGAGAACTCTCAACGGGCCCTGGGACCATCCAAAAGTATTCAGGCGGAAAGGCTGGCCCCAGGGAAGTGGTCCAGGCCTCGGGGACTCCACGCATCGAAAGATTGGAGCGACGGATGTCTCGGGAGGGATTCGTTCTTCGAGATTTTCAAGGGTTTTTGCTGGATCTTTTGTTGGGCCCTGAAAGTCTTCTTGCGCCTCCGAAAGTCCGGCAGCTGCGTCTTGCCGAGGACGCTCTGGGGGTGCCATGATGGTCTCGAACGGCCGCCGGAGACCCGAGTCATGACCTGAAGACCAAATCTGTTTCCGTCCTGACAAAAACAGCAGTGGACATTTTGTTGGCCATGTCAGGCCTCCGGGGGCCCTCGCGGGTCTCTGGGACTGTCAGGTAGCGTAACGGCTCAGGATGAGATTCCGGCGCTCTCTGAGGCCTCCCGTGGAGCTAGCTATTCGTTTCGATTCGATGATGACGATGACGATCATGATGGTCATTCGGGTGATGATGCTACTGATTGTGATATTGATGGGTGCCCTTATTGTGAGGGCGGAGGTAATCGCGGCGATGGCGATTGTGATGTTCATGGTGATGATGAGGGTGGAGGTGATGATCATGATGATGATTCTGATGATGGTGGCGGTGGTGATGGTGATGATGATGATTATGATTATGATGATGGTGGTGATGGTGATGATGATGATGATGATGATGACGACGACGACGATGATGATGATGATGATGATGATGATGATGATGATGGTGGTGGTGGTGGTGGTGGTGGTGATGGTGGTGGTGATGATGGTGTGTGTGTGTGATGGTGGCGGTGGCAATGCTGATGATGTTGTCGACGACGAGGAAGAGGATGATGCTGAGGCTTGGGCTGAGATTCTAGAGGAGGATGAGTTGGAGGAGGAGGAGGAGGAGGAGAAGGAGGACGAGGAGGAGAGTCCAGAAGCATGCTGCCTCCCTCCCAGAAGGGACCTCCCTGGCCCCTGTTTACCCCTCGAGTCCGCCCCTGCCGGAGGAGGTGGAGAACGCGGACACGGTGGACGACGAGGTCTTGCCCGAGGAGCGCCGAGACAGAGGAGGACGGGGAAGAGCCGGTGGGGACAGCTGTGGTGGTGATCGTCGTGCCAGGGTAAAGGGTGCAGGGTAGAAGACTCCGTAGGGAAGAGCACGACAAGCATGACAATAGGAGGATGAGGGCGATGACGGTGATAAGGGATGATGAGAGGAGGAGGCGGAGGAGGAGGAGGAGGCGGAGGAGGGGGAGGGGGGGAGGAGGGGGAGGAGGAATACGAGGTCGAAGATGAGGAGGAGGATGATGATGAGGAGGAGGAGGAGGAGGAGGAGGCCTCTGGGTTTCACGTCATCGGAAGGTGAGGTGGCCTCCCCACTCCACCCCCCTTCGGGTAAGGTCCCCCAGTGGCGTCTGGGGGGGCCCGCGCACGCGCCGCCCGCGGCGGCCCGCGGGCGCGCGGGCACGGACGTGGGAACCGCAGAAGCGGCTGCGAGAGAGAGGGGGAGGATCGAGGCGGAGGAGACGCATCCTTCCCAGTCGTGCACCCAGAAGCGGGAGCAAGGGCCAACATTCCCCATTCAGTGCCTGCACTGAACGGGTCTTGGCGGCTATTGAAAGATTTGGCGAAAGTTTCCCGCCGATTTCGGCAGCCGGCTGGGTTCCCAGGTTCCTAGTTCGGGGTTCCCGGGTTCCCGGTTATCGGGCCGATTTCGGTGGGTTTCGGGTTTCCGGGGTTCCCAGGTTCCCGGGCGATCCACTGATGGGTTTTTTTCTTCGGTGTAATCGGGCCCAGCTCGTCATCGGAATTCCGAAAACCAGAGCAAGCCGAAAATCATAAGCATCGACAGACTGGGCAGAACATCGAATCAACCATTAGGCTTATGATGTTCCAACCTACCTTGACCACCCGAAAGAATTTCGAGCACCAGGAAAAAGTACCGAAACTCGAGGGTTGGGCCCTGGGAGACGCTCGCCCGACACTGTTTCGGCACTGCTTCGACGCTCTTTCGATACTTTTCCGGGCGCTCGAGATTATTTCTGGGATATGGTCCCTAAGTACGACGACAGACTGGGCAGAACATCGAATCAACCATTAGGCACCCGGAGGGGCTTCCCCGTGGCAGGGTGCCTGCCAGCCTTGGTGGCCGCAGCGGCACGTCGTTGATCAGGTCGCGTCTTGCTGTGCTCTGAGGGCCCAGGGCAGTTCGGAAGGAGGAGAAACGATACCAACACCACCAGGGGGCCCACCTCCAGCGAGGAGGTTCACGATGCCTCCCCGAGCTGGAGGCTGGGGATGTCTCGACCGAGAGGGAGGGACCACACCACCAGGGAGATCCCCCTTGCCTCCTCGCATCTCCTCGCCCTGGTGGTGTTGGTGCCGCCTTTCTTTGCTCCGAACACTTGCCCGAAAGCTCGCGGACCGCCCGAGCGGAAACGAATCACGCAAGGTGCACGCCATAGCCCCGCGGCGAAACAGCACGCGATGGACCTCGAGTTCGACGATGTCACCAGAGCCGGGCGGTGCTGACACACTCGGCTCAGGAGAACCCAAACCAGAGGAACGATGTTTAAAACGAAATGGCATTTAAAAATCGAACAACGAAACGGGGCCCAACGTTTGAAACGAGCGTTTGGAACGAAGCCGGTGCCAAACGAAAACGAACGACGAAACGGGGCGTTTACAGCAACAACGAACATCGAAACGAAGCAACAACGACACACGAAACGAAAAACGAAACAAGGGCCAAAACCAAGCTAAGCAGCGTTGTGAGGGCCCCTCTTGAAAGGTGTCTGCAAAATCGATACCAACCTGAACAGCTTCTCTTCTGTAGAGCGGGGCCCGCTGCAGCTCCGCATCTCTGCTAGCTTTACGTCGGGCCTGCCCCCCGAATTACAGGAGTATTTAAAGATAGTAAAAAACAGTTCTGGGACGATTTTGCTAGCATTTTTTAACTACAATTTTTGAGTTTTTGTTGTCAATGTTTTATTTGTCGCCCAAAATCCCCCTGTAGGGGGACATGCCCAACCCAAGCCTATTACTCTAAGTGCTGGCAGACGGCAGTGTTGGCAGAGCCAGACGTCATTTTACGAAGACTGGCTGGGGTCCTAGCAGTGGCCAAACAGCATGTGAAATGGTGGACTCCAGGGCTCCGAACCACAACCGTGTGAGGGCATTGCCTGCGTATCGGGTGGGGGTTGGCTCACTCACTCGCTTTTTGAGTTTGCTTGGACTCAGCATCCCTGGATATCACACATGCTGCGGCATGGGCAAAGAAGCGGGCCTGCATCTTGGCGTCCTGCAGCTTAGATTTGAACGACAAAGCCAGGGTGTTACCGAGCGAGAAGCACTCTGCACCCATTATTACAGAAAAGTCGGCTCACATGGTTCCAAGCATGAACTCCCAAGGGGTGTGCACAGCATATTTGTCAATCTATCATTCAATCGACGTGCGCTGGGAACCGTTACGCAGCAGGGCGGTGGTCACCTTGCACATGAAAGATCATCAACCAAATGCCGGCGTATATGAAATATACATATTCCTGGTCTTGTTGCCAAGCTTACACTTCACAAGCGAACACCTTGACATCTGCCACCACGAGCTCACCATTCTGGAGCAACTTGCACGAGAAAAGAAGAGCCCCTCTTATTACCCGATATGGGTTTGTATGAAGATCGTACTGGCGTCCTGACATCTCGTAGTTGAAGAGACGATGGCCAACATCTTTTTAGTTATGGTCACGATGGTGCCATTGCGGACTCATCAGTACACAACGGAAGTCCAGGAGCTCTTATCCGAGGCCCAGTTTTCCTTAGGTAGTGAGTGAGGTAGGTTATCACTAGCATATGGTGTGATGATGGGTTTCAGGGGACTGGCCACGCTGGTTTGGAAGTAGTCCCGAACAGGTCCCCAAAGAGATCCTCCACCCACTTCTTTCAAAGACGGCGACGACGACACCAGCGCCGACGCCGACGCCGACGCCGACGCCGACGACGCCAGCGTCAACACCGACGATGTTGACGACGACGACGACGGCGACGACGACGACGCACGACGCACGACGCACGACGCACAACGCACGATGCACGACGACGCCGACGCCGGTGCCGACGCCGACGCCGAAGCCGACCCTGACGTCGACGCCGACGACGAAACCGTCGACGACGCCGACGACGACGCCGACGACGACGACGCTGGCTACGACGCCCGCGGTGACGACGACGCTGACAACAACAACGACGCTGACGACGCCGACGGCGACGACGAGGACGCTGACGACGACGACGACGCCGACGCCGACGCCGACGCCAACGCCGACGACGACGACGACGGCGACGAAGACAACGACGACGACGACCACGACGATGACGACGACGTCGATGGCGTCGGCGACGACGACGCCCACGACGACGACGACGACGTAAGACGCACGACGCACGACGCATGACGCACGATGCACGACAACGGCGACGACGACCACGACCACCACGACGATGCCGGTGCCGACGCCGACGCCGACGCTTACGTCGACGCCTACGCCGACGCCGCTGCCGACGACGACGACGACGACGCCGACGGCGACGACGACAACAATAACGGCGACGACGGCGACGACAAAGACGACACGGAAGACGACGACAATGTCGAACACGACGACGCCGCCGCGGACGCCGACAACGACCTCGCCGACGACGACGGCGAAGACGATGTCGACGACGCTGGCGACGACGCCGACGCCGACGCCTACGCCTACGCCGACGCCGCCGACGACGACGACGACGATGGCGACGGCGACGACCACAACGCGAACGATAACGGCGACGACGACGACAAAGATGATGACACCGACGACGACGACGACGCCGCCAACGCGGACGACGACGATGATGCCGATGACGACGGCGACGTCGACGATGCCGACACTGACGACGACAACGTCGACGACGACGACGGCAATGACGACGACGACCACGAAGTCAACCAAGACGACGACGACGAGCAGAGTAGAGTACGCGTAGAGTCGCGCATAATAGGCGTATATTAGAGAGGCGCGTAGACACGAGTAGAGTAGGGTGGGACTCGTCTGGGTAAAGCACAGTAGGGTAGAGTACAGTATAGTGGAGTAGGGAAGTGTAGAGTGCAGAACACCTTAAAAAAGGGAAGGGGTCGAGCAGTGAAGAATATAGCGGCCTCTTACAACATGAATGTAGTAGAGTAGAGCAGAGCTGCACAACGTAGAGTAGAGTAGATTATGCTGGGGTGCTGTATTGCAGAGTAGGGTTGGGTAGAGTAGGGCAGAGTAGAGCAGAGAAGAGGGAACTCGAGTAGCGAAGGATCATGATGAAGTATACCAAGATCAAAGAAGAGTAGAGTGGAGTATGTTAGGGTACGGTCGGGTAGAGTAGAGTAGGGCAGAATGGAGAAGATAGGTTTGAGCAGGGTTGAGAAGAGTAGATGCGTAGCGTAGATCAGAAATCTAGTAGAGCAGAACTGAGCAGACTAGAGTAGGTTTAAGAGAAAATCAGAGCAGCAGCAACGTAGAGTCTAGTATAGTATGTTAGGGGATGGTAGGGTAGAGTAGGGTCGAGTAGAGTAGGGCAGCGTAGACCAGAGTAGAGCGGAGAAGAGTAACGTAGAGTCGAGAATAAGTAGAGGACAATAGAGTAAGAGCAGAGTGTAATAGAGTAGAGCATGTCTGGCTACAGTAGGGCAGAGTAGAGTAGTGTATAATCGAGAAGAGTAGAGCGGCGACGAGGAAAGTAGGGTAGAGAAGTGGAACGTCGAGTACAGTAGCGCAGGGCAGAGCAGCGCAGAGTACACTATGGCCCAGCAGTATATCGAGCGAGCCAGATCGAGCCCTCGTAGCATCCAATCGGAGCCCGCGCCTGGCGCGGGCGCTGACGACGTCGTCGTCGCCTTCGTCACAACGTGGTCGTCGTAGTCGTCGGCGTCGGCGTCGTCGTCGTCGTAGTCCTTGTCGTCGTCGCCATCGTCGTCGCCGTCGCCGTCGTCGTCGTTTTCGTCTGGGGTGGGTGTGTTGCGGGCCCCAATGATTTTCTGATGTGGGGGGTCCGGACGCCCCCACTAATTTTGTTGGCGGGGGGGGTTCTGGATCCTTCTCAATAATGTTCCCGGGGGGGGGTTCTGGACCCCCTTCCCTGGGGGGAGTGGGGGGGCTCCGGACCTCCCCCGCTAATTTTCCCGGTGTGGAGGGGGGGTGGGTCCGGACCTCCTTTGCGTGGGAATTGGGGGGGGTGAGGAGGGGGGGATTTGAAAGGTTGGGAGGGGCTCCCTGGTCTCTGACCCCCTTAGGAGTTGTTTCAGAGGTGGGGGGGAGGAGGGGCCGCCTGGTTTCTGACCCCTCCTGGGAGTAAACTTTCAAGCCAACGACGGTGGATCGCGCTCCCTCGAATATTCCGTTCACATCATACGACGCTCGTGAACAGTGTGTCCACGACCAGGGCAACGATCTTGACATGCACGACGATGATCCTCACGTGCAGGACGTGCAGTAGCGCCCCAAGCGTTGTTTGGCCTCTCAGACTTGACGTGGTTCTACGCTGCGACGTCGTGTCATCTGGCCAGGCCTGCGGGCAGACATTTGGCGTTACCATGGTCGCCGTAGGGCCGTGTCCGCTCCCACCAGTTATGTGCTGATGTGCTTGTGCCACGTCGTCCTGTCTGGCCGTGGTCCAGCGCCGCGTCTGCACGCTTCTTTTGATGCACGGCCGTGGAGGTCTGCGTGGGCTGGCAGCTGGTGCCGTGAGCACGTGTTGTGTGCCGCCGTTCCGTGTGTTGCCGCCCGTGCGGTGTCGTGTCGGGTGGTGCCGGGCGCGTGGTGCCATGCCGAGAAGTAAGGTCAGCGTGCAGTAAATAGCGACTTGGGATGTTATGCGGTGCCGTGTGCATGTGGCGTGGTGTCGTGACGAGTGCCGGGAGCACTCGTGGCTCTGACCAGCCAGCCGCGGCAGGCTTTAAGGCACTGGGCCCTCATCCATGCAACATGTGCGTATGGGAGTGTTTGTGTGGGAGGGGGTCTCATAACCTACCCAGTATTCGTGGCTTTGCCCTGGGCCTTCGCCTGTGGCATGTCTTTCCGCCGTTGTCGAGCTCATGAGCCCGATGTCCCGCGCCGCTTGAAGATCTGCGTGGTCTGAGAGCCGTCTGGCCGTTCCGCGGCCGCTGCCTCCTCCCGTCTTGCCCCTCTTTTTGCTGCCGCCGCCGCCAAAAACTACGGACGCGTCAAGCCGCTAGCCCGACCGCTTGTTGGATCCACCTCGCCGCTGGCCAACAAGTGTGGGATGGAGATTGGAGGGAGAGATAGAGAGATAGACAGAGAGAGATAAGCAAAACATTAAACAAGAGAGAGGGAGAGAGAGAGAGAGAGAGAGAGAGCGAGAGAAAGAGACAGGCTTGTGCTACTTCTCGTGGGCACAAGCCGTACAGATCGATAGACCCCCCAAAACACATTGATCCGTAGGGGCCACAGCAACTGCGCCACACACTCGCGGACAGCACGTGCGAGCGCCGATCCGCGCAACAATCTGTCACTGGTGCTGGAGGGTGGCTACTTTCCACCGGGGGCTTCGGCTGTTGCATGGGGGCGCCACTCAGCGCGCTTGGGGGGAATCGGAGGTGGTCGATGTATGCGTACACCACGCCAGCTTGGCGGCCAGGTATCTGGTGAACTCGGCGAAGGAGTTCGGCGTATAGACGCCCAATCGTCCCGCAGGCCAGGCAGCTACACATATACATATATATAGATATGTATTTACAGATGACCATACATACATACATATACATATATACATATATATGTATATGTGTATGCATATGTATACATACATACATACATACATACATGCATGCATGCATGCATGCATGCATGCATGCATGCATACATACATACATACATACATGCATGCATGCATGCATGCATGCATACATACATACATACATACATACACACACACACACCGCGTCATCTTGGCGGCCACGGATCTGGTGAGATCGGCGAAGGAGTGCGGCGCGTGGGCGCCCACTCGCTCCACGGGCCGGGCGGCTCTGGGCGCCTGCGCGCCGAGCTCCTCGCCCGACCGCACGACGCGGTGCACACCTCGGGCCCCTCCCGGGGACTTGGCATCGCTCGGACGTGTGCATGTTTCTTTCGGCGAGGGCCATCGAGGAGCATCCTTGATCATTTGGCGAAGAAACCACGCACGGAACCGAAAAAAGCACAGGGAATGGACGTCCGAGCGACGGCCAGGGGAGGAGAAGGCGGAGCTGGAAGCCGATGCTGCACCCGCCCGCGGTGCAGGTAGCCCGCGGCAGTCCCCAGATCTCCGACGCCGCCTTTCTTGTCACAGCGCGGACCCCCCGAGAGCCGGACCCCTTCGCCGGGACCGGTTTTTCCTCCCGAGCCGTTTTTTTGCGGCTCCTGCGGCCAGGCGAGGCCCCCAGATGTCCAAGAGGATCTAGATTTTCCTGCTTGATTTCTTCGGCAAGAAGTTGCAGCATCACGACAAATCACGCTTGGAGCCCTGTACGCCATCTGTCTGCGTCAACTCTCTGGCCGGATCGATATGTGAAGGTCCCGGGGCCCGACACCGGGCGAAAACGACTGCGGGGAAGGATCTGCAACGCCCAGATCTGAGAGGGGGAGGTGGGGGGTACCCCGCTTGGCATCGCTCGGGTGTGTGCATATTCCTCGGCCAGGCCAGCGTTAAAAACTTTGGACCCTCTAAGATCGGGGATGGACGGAACCCCCTTCAGTAAAACGTGGTTTAGTAAAAACGACCTTGGGCTCAAACCTGGCGGGCGCAAGCCTGGAAAATGACGGCCGCGGCGCCCTCTCGAGAACCGAAAACGGACAGTTCACAAATCGACGTGTCAGGGTGGGGGTTCTGTCCACCCCCGATAAGAGCGTCCATCTTGCGGAAAAAAGAAACGCAGAAACCGAGAACCATGCACGAGGACAGGCCCGAGCGACGGCAAGAGCGAGGCCCCACCCAGGGAGGACAGGGGTCTCCTTAGGGGGGCCGCACGCGAGCCCTGCACCCCTACCCCCCCACGACTTCTGGGGGGGAGGGTGGGGCTCACTCCGCTCGGGAGGCTCCCGAACGAGGTGAACCCCCACCCTCCCCCCCAGAACTCGTGGTGGGTAGGGGGTGCAGGGCTTGCTGTGCGGCCCCCTGCTCTAGAGTCCAAGTCCACAGCCCGTGGCCTCCCGCGCGGCCTCCCGCCTGGGCTCCCCTGTGCTCTCCGGTGCGGTCTTCCGCTCCGAGGGTCGAGGCTCGAGGCTCGAGGCTCGAGGCTCGAGGCTCGAGGCTCGAGGGTCGAGGATCGAGGGTCGAGGGTCGAGGGTCGAGGGTCGAGGATCGAGGCTAGAGGGTCGAGGGTCGAGGGTCGAGGGTCGAGGGTCGAGGCTAGAGGCTAGAGGGTCGAGGGTCTAGAGGCTAGAGGGTCGAGGGTGGACCCCTTCCCCGGGGGCCGGCTGCTCACCGCGAGCCGTCTCTTGACGGCGCTTTGGCCGGGCGAGGCCCCCCCGGGGCCGACCACGGCGGATGAGCATCCGCCCGGCTGTCTTGCTCCAGACGCTGCGTGCCCGGGGGGGCAGCATCCCCAGGGACTCGTCGTCGACTTTTCGCCCATCGACTTGTGGGGATCGAGCCAGGCAGGTCCAGGTGAATGCCGAGAAATCCAGAGAGCTCCAGGTAGATCTCGGCACATCGAGATAGAAGTCCGGATAGATGCAGAGAGGTCCAGAGATCTCCAGGGAAGCTTGGAGCAAGTCGCGGCCGCTCCAGCGCGCGTCGAAGGACGGCAGATGTCGTCAAGGCTTCAACGACAGGAGACCGAGCCCCGCCCGGGGGGGGGGGGGCAACGGCCCGGCGCCGCAGGGGCCGAGGCTGCGCGGCGCCGACGGGGCCAAGAGGCCCCGCGGCAGGCCCGCGCCCGCTGCCTCGGAGGCCCCCGCGGCGGCCGTGAGGAGCACCACGCCGCCGCCAGGGACCGGAACACCTCCCTCATCGAGGAGCCCTCCCTCTCTCCCCGCCTTATCCTCCTCCTCCTCCTCCTCCTCCTCCTCCTCCCCTCCTCCTCCTCCTCTCCTCCTCCCTCCTCCCTCCTCCCTCCTCCCTCCTCCTCCCTCCTCCCTCCTCCCTCCTCCTTCTCCTCCCTCCTCCCTCCCCTCCTCCCCCCTCCCTCCTCCTCCATCCTTTTCTTCGTCGTCCTCATCCTCCTCTCCCTCCTCCTCCCTCTTCCCTCCTTGTGCTACTCCTCCACTCCTTTTCCCTTATAGATAAATCCTCCCTGTCGCACCCTGAGGCAGGTCGAAAAGGCTGGCCAGGCGTTTCGCCTGAGACGTCCTCACCATTTTGACCCTGCTGCTCAAGACATCACAAGAGTTTCAATATTGAAGGGTGGGTGGTTTTCAAAATGCTTCTCTCGCCTTTGCGCCGCGCACATTATTGTTAATCACGGATGAAGGGCGGGTGGCTTTGTCGTTCTCGGTTCAGCGCCGTGCGCATTCGTCTTCAACAGTTGCAAGAACTTCACGGATCGAGGGCGGGTGGTTTTCAAGATGTGGTTCTCGCCTCAGCGCCGCGCACAGTTTCTTTCAACAGTTGTAAGCGCTTCACGGATTGAGAGCGGGTCGTTTTCAAAATGTGGCACTCGCCTTAGTGCCGCGCACACACGTTTTAACAATTAGCAGGAGTTTCTCTGGTGCTCATGGTTAACGTACCAGGATTGGCGTTTTGAAACGATTCAGGGTTGTCTGGGCGCAACAGTGGCGTTGATTCGAGGTGTTGAAGTCCCAGTAATCGTATCCTGGTACGGTTCAGGATCGCCAAGACGTAACAGTCAGGTTGCTAACTCGTGGCGTCGAAAACCTGGGAATGGTGTTTTGACGCACTCCAAGATGTTCACACGGTTGTCCCCCAACGGGACCATTCCTTCAGTGGACATGACCCCTTGTAGGGCCCTCTGAAGAAGGACCTCGGAGGGAGGGTGTATTCCAACGTGGTTGATTGAGCCTTGGGTTTGCACTGGTCACACCTCCTCCTCCCCCTCGTCGTCGTCGTCGTCCTCCTCCTCCTCCTCCCTCCTTTTGATTTTGCTCCTTCTCCGCGCTCCTCCTCCTCCTCCTCTGCCTCCTCCTCCTCTGCCCCCTCCTCCCCCTCCTCCTTCTCGAGTAGCCCTGCGGATGGGCCGCGGCCTCCCCAAACAGCGTTTCGAAAAGTCGGGGCAGAGGTTTTTCATAGTTTTCGAGTTTTCGGGGCCCTCACCGGGCCTCGGGATGAGAAACCGGTCCCTGGGGGAGTGGTCGAGAGGGTGGGGGCCCCTGCTTGGAACAAAAATCGAGACGCCGGATGTCTGAGTCCCCGGGCCTGATGGCCATGCACGGTGGTGGTGTCCAGTCGCCCTCTGCGCCCAGACCCCCGACGTCTAGACCCATTCCCCCGGACCCGTTTTTCGTCCTGCGTCGTTTTCTGCTGCTCCCGAGGCCCACTCATGGCCCCCAGAGGGGCAGAAAGCAACGAACAGCTGCCCGTCGTGCTTTTTTTCATGCCCCGAGGGGTCTGGCAGGAGGGTGCACACGTCCTCGGCCCCACGCGGCGATCCGGAGAAGGACGCCTGCCTCCCGCCCGCGCGGGAACGCCACCTCCGAGCGAAGTCTCCACTTTCGGGGGAGCGTAAGACCCGGGTTTGCCGGGACTCGGGTTCGCCATCGTTTTTTGACGACCGCGCCTCGGATTTTGACGAGGAGGAGTTTCGTGGGATGTCTGCAGCGGGAGGCCTCGTCAAAATGCAGGCTCGGCCTCGTCATTTTTTGACGACCTCGTCGGGGATTTCCGAGTCCCCCGTACCGGGGTCTTACGTCTCCCCGACACTTCGCCCCGCTCCCGCGCGGCCCCGCCCCCCGCGACGTGGCGAGGGGCCGCTCCGCGCCGCGCCGAGGCGGGAGCGCCGCTTCCAGGCGAGGCCCGCGCGGCGCCGAGGCGGGAGCGGCCGTTCCTCGCCCGCTCGCGCGTCGACGCGCTGGCAAAGGCGAGCGGTGTGCGCCGCTCCTCCTCCTCCTCCTCCTCCTCCTCCTCCTCCTCCTCCTCCTCCTCCTCCTCCTCTCCCTCCTCCTCCTCCTCCTCCTCCTCCTCCTCCTCCTCCTCCTCCTCCTCCTCCTCTCCCTTCTCCTCCTCCTCCTCCTCCTCCTCCTCCTCCTCCTCCTCCTCCTCCGCACCCGAGCGGGAGCTTCAGCGCTCCAAGGACGAGCGCGACGCCGGGTCGAGCGCAGACTTTCGCTCGCTCGCGGGGGAGGTGCGCCGCGTCGCGCCCCGGCCACGCGTCATGCGGCGTGGACGACAGAGCGCCGAGGTCGAGACGGAAAACGTGCACTCCCCAGGAGGAGGAGGAGGAGGAGGAAAAGGAGGAGGAGGAGGAGGAGGAGGAATTGTGGTTCTCGTTTCTGCTCTGAGGAATTGGGCCTTTTTTTCGGTCTGTCAGCGATGTGGCCGCCGTCGCCGCCCCGTTGCCGCCTCGTCGCCGTCGTCTGGGCCGTGTCTTCGGTCCCTCGGCTATGTGGCCGCCGTCTCCGCTCCGTCGCCGCCTCGTCGCTGCCCTAGGTCTTCTTTTGTTCAGCGAATTTTAGGATCTCCCTCCCTCACCCGGACTTAGTGGCCAGCCTTTTTTCCGTTTTGTTGTTCGCATGTGGTTCTGCACGGTCGCCCACCCTGAATAGGAGTCCATACCATCCCAGGCAGTCGTGGATCGGCTCCCCCTCTCACCGCTTGCGCAAGGAAGCGCTGACATATGAAGGACAAGTGGCTTCGCAAAACAGATGATCAGAACAGTCTGCGCTCGCGCTCCTGCGACTTCTTAAGAGCACGACTGTGTTTGGTTATTCCACATGTTCACTACGTGCTGCCAAACGCGCCTTCCGCGCGCATGCCAAAATCAACCGAGCGCCTTGGCGCGCGTGCTGTCGCAATCGCAAGAGCCTCTTGCACACATTGGGGCGGAGGCGCGTCGTCGCGCGCGCATGCCGCTGTCAGTCAACAGCTTCAGGTGCCGTCTGGGTTTCAAAATCGAGCCGATTGAAAACGTACAAGAGCACACGCGGTTTTGCAACATCAGTTGTCAAAAAAGGTATGTGCGCGCGCCCGTGCGAATTCTTCAGGTCACAAGCGGTTGTTCCAACATGTACATCAAATTCGACGACGCTGGCCTCGCGACGCATGTTGAAATCATTCGAACGCCTGTGCGCGCGTGCAGGGGGGGGAGCCCTGTCAAATAATTCCATGTGGGCCGACGCGCGTGCCGAACTCCGTCCAAAACCTCCATCACCGACGCGTAGACACCGTCATCCTCATTGACGTGATCAGCATCGGCGCCGTTATTGGACTTGCCGTCGTCACCGTCGCCCTCGTCATCATCATCGCTACTACCATCATCGTTGCTACAGTTGTCGACGCCGCCATGATACCGCGCCCGCCCACGTCACCGACTCGCACTGAAGTGCCCGCTGGAAAAGCCCAGCGGCCAGCGCCCCTTCGGCCGCGTCGGCCGCGCCGTTCAAGCTGGTCGCTGCGCGCGGGCATGCGCGTGCTAGCGCGGCCGCAGAAATGCACCAGCCAACGCCAAGCACTCGTCGCAATCGCCGCCGCATAGGTTTTGCAAGCCAAGCAAGTTGTGGATGGGCGGGTCGGGATGTTGGCGCGAGCAGTGGGGTTGGCAATTTCAAGCTACACAAAGCGTACACAACATATGATGTAGAACCGCGCAGATTGCACCACATGGGTTGCGCAACATTTATTGCACGGCGCAGGGCGCATAACACATTTATACGCTTCTTGCCAAACGAATGTTATGATCAATTCCCCCCCTGGGACTTAACGCACGGTCTTTTGTCGTGTTCTTTTTGCGTGTGTGATTTTGCGCGCTCGTCCTTCCCAAAATTGGACGCATGCCTGTCTGGGCAGTCTAGTTGTCTAGTTATCGCCCCCCTTTTTCATCCTTTTCAAATAGTGGCGTGCGCGCACGCTTGTCGCAATTTAACAGTTACAAGAATTCTTCGCGGAAGCTGGGACGAAGAGCACGCGCGCGCGTCGTCGCGCGCGCATCCCGAAATCTATCCAACATCTTAGGTTCCGCGAGCATTTCACAACCGAACGTTCCGAACACCTAGTGGCTTCGCAGAATCATTGTCCAGATGAGCCTTCGCTCGCGCACTTGGTCATGTTACGGGCAACCACCGGTTCCACGACATGTCCATGCAATGCGACGAAGCGTGCACCTCGCGGACACATGTCGAATGCAATCGAACGCCCTTGCGCGCGTGCTGTCGAAAGCATCCCTCGCACAGCATGGGGCGAAGTGCACGGGCGCGCGTCGTCGCGCGCCTGCCGACATCCGCCAACAAGCCTTCGGTGTCGCAAGGATTTCAAGACCGAGCGCCCCGGCAACATATATTAATTAGCCTGGCGAAGGACCCAACCATATGCGGTTGTGAATGCCGCAATTGTGCTGGGTGGTGGCGGACGCATGCGGGCGGTGCCACTGGGACCTTCGGTGGAGCTCCCTATGGGGCCACGAAACGCTGTACTGGTGGGTGAGACGCGGTCAGCAAGGGCTGTGCTGCGTGGTGGCGGACGCATGCGAGCGGTGCCACTGGGACCTTCGGTGGAGCTCCCTATGGGGCCACGGAACGCTGTACTGGGTGGGTGAAACGCAGGCAGGGAGCAGGGGCTGAGCAGGGTGGTGGCGGACGCATGCGGGCGGTGCCGCTGGGACCTTTGGTGGAGCTCCCTATAGGGCTACGAAGCGCTGCCTGGGTGGGTGAAGCGCAGGGAACAAGGGCTGTGCTGGGTGGCTTTGGTGGAGCTCCCTATGGGGCCACGAAGCGTTGTACTGGGTGGGTGAGACGCGGTCAGCAAGGGCTGTGCTGCGTGGTGGCGGACGCATGCGAGCGGTGCCACTGGGGCCTTCGGTTGAGCTCCCTATGGAACCACGAAGCGTGTGAGGGGTGTGCCAGAATGGGGGGCGGAACCGCATGCCAGCGCAGCCACTGGGGCCTTCTGTGGAGCTCCCTATGGAACCACGAAGCGTGTGAGGGGTGTGCCGAAATGGGGGGTGGAACCGCATGCGAGCGCAGCCACTGCGGCGTTCGGTGGAGCTCCCTATGGGGCCACGAGACGTGTGAAGGGCGTGCCGAAAAAAAACGTGGAACCGCATGCGAGCGCAGCCACTGGGGCCTTCGGTGGAGCTCTCTATGGGGCCACGAACCGTGTGAGGGGTGTGCCGAAATGGGGGGGGAACCACATGCGAGCGCAGCCACTGGGGCGTTCGGTGGAGCTCCCCATGGAGCCACCCACGAAGCGTGTGAGGGGTGTGCCGAAATGGGGGGTGGAACCGCATGCGGGCGCAGCCACTGGGGCCTTCGGTGGAGCTCCCTATGGGGCCACGAACGTGTGAGGGGTGTGCCAGAATGGGGGTGGAACCGCATGCGAGCGCAGCCACTGGGGCCTTCGGTGGAGCTCCCTATGGGGCCACGAAACGTGTGAGGGTGTGCCAGAATGGGGGGTGGAACCGCATGCGGGCGCAGCCACTGGGGCCTTCGGTGGAGCTCCCTATGGGGCCACGAAACGTGTGAGGGGTGTGCCGAAACGCATGTGAGGGGTGTGCCAGAATGGGGGGTGGAACCGCATGCGGGCGCAGCCACTGGGGCCTTCGGTGGAGCCGTGGAACCGCATGCGGGCGCAGCCACTGGGGCCTTCGGTGGAGCTCCCTATGGGGCCACGAAACGTGTGAGGGGTGTGCCAGAATGGGGGGTGGAACCGCATGCGGCGCAGCCACTGGGGCCTTCGGTGGAGCTCCCTATGGGGCCACGAAACGTGTGAGGGGTGTGCCAGAATGGGGGGTGGAACCGCATGCGGGCGCAGCCACTGGGGCCTTCGGTGGAGCTCCCTATGGGGCCACGAAACGTGTGAGGGGTGTGCCAGAATGGGGGGTGGAACCGCATGCGGGCGCAGCCACTGGGGCCTTCGGTGGAGCTCCCTATGGGGCCACGAAACGTGTGAGGGGTGTGCCAGAATGGGGGTGGAACCGCATGCGGGCGCAGCCACTGGGGCCTTCGGTGGAGCTCCCTATGGGGCCACGAAACGTGTGAGGGGTGTGCCAGAATGGGGGGTGGAACCGCATGCGGGCGCAGCCACTGGGGCCTTCGGTGGAGCTCCCTATGGGGCCACGAAACGTGTGAGGGGTGTGCCAGAATGGGGGGTGGAACCGCATGCGGGCGCAGCCACTGGGGCCTTCGGTGGAGCTCCCTATGGGGCCACGAAACGTGTGAGGGGTGTGCCAGAATGGGGGGTGGAACCGCATGCGGGCGCAGCCACTGGGGCCTTCGGTGGAGCTCCCTATGGGGCCACGAAACGTGTGAGGGGTGTGCCAGAATGGGGGGTGGAACCGCATGCGGGCGCAGCCACTGGGGCCTTCGGTGGAGCTCCCTATGGGGCCACGAAGCGTGTGAGGGGTGTGCCAGGATGGGTGTGGGAGGGGGAGGAGGGGGGAGGAAGGGGAGGAGGAGGAAGGAGGAGGAAGGAGGAACGCGGGGCGACGTCTCTTCAACACGAGGACCCAACACCACGGGATTGTTGGGAAAAAACCATGGTCTCGCAACGGGAATTTTCAGGAAAGCCTTCGCTCGCGCCCTTGCGGATTCAAGAGGATCCCAAAAGTTTATCAACCTTTTCATCAAGTTCGGCCAAACGCGCCTTTCGCGACCGCGTGTCGAAATCAGTCGAATGCCCCTGCGCGCGTGCAGTCGCAAAAATCCCGTGCAACGGGTGGGGCGAGAGGCGCGCGCGCGCGTCGTCGCGAAAGCCTGCCGGAATCTTTCAAAACACAGGTTCTCGTAAGGGTTGCGCAATCGAGTGCCCCGAAACCATATAAAAAACAATGTGTCTCGCGTGAGGATTTGAGAGAGAAGCGTGCGTTCGCGCCCTTTCGGATTTTGAAGAAAACCATAAGCGGTTCAACGTTGTCAGCAGATGCGACCAAATTTATGCTTCGCGCGCGCACGCCGAAGTCATTCGAACGCGCTTGCGCGCGTACTTGCGTGGGGGGAGATTCCCTGTCAAATCATATCATGCGGGCCATTCGCGCGCGTCGGCCGCGCCCGCATGTCGATATTCAGCCGATTTCTACCTCGCCGGCCTCAAGACATCGTCACCATCATCGGCGTGATCGGCATCGGCATCGGCGCCATCTTTGTCTTGTCCTGTCCGTCGTCCTTATCATCATCGTCACCAGCACTGCCACTATCATCCTCGTGTCCACCGTTGTCGACATCGCCATACTACCGCACCCGCCGGGGTCACCGCCTCCTGTGATGTGCCCGCGCGTCTGCGCGGCCCGCGAGACGTGTTTGGGAAGTCCCCACACGGCCTCCTCCTCCTCCTCCTCCTCCTCCTCCTCCTCCTCCTCCTCCTCCCCCTCCCCCTCCCCCTCCCCCTCCGACGGACGCACCCGCTACCGCGGGTGCGTCCGTCGCGCTGGACGAGCTGGCCGCTCTGCGCGCGAGCCTGCACGCGCTGGCGCGGCCGCAGCGATGCGCCAGCCAGCGCCAAGCAGTCATCGCAATCGTCCCCGCATGGGTTTTGCAAACCATGTTGGGGGTGGGTGGGAGGGGCGATTGCGCGAACACTGGAGCTGGCAAGCGAACAAGCACTACCTGCACTACATAGATTGCACCGCATCGATTGCACAGCATAGATTGCAAAACATGTGCTGCACAGCGTGGATTGCTAGATGCACGTTGTTTGGGATGCGCGCTGGCTGAAATTTCGTTTTGCTCCCAACCCTAGGATGGGCTGTCCCGTATCCTGCCGTTATCCGTCAGTTAGGCTGCAGAGTAGGGGTGTAAATATAGAGATAGAGGACAGAGACTACGGATAGTACCTGTTGGCCTTGCCAGCAATCCTTACACAGCGTGACTTTTTGCAAGTGGTGGCAACAAGTTCTTCGCTCGGCCGCGTTGAGCACCTTAGGCCGCATGCTCCGCGAAATTGATCAATGTGCTATTACATGGTAGGCGTGACGTGACGAGCACGCGGGCTTGCAGGACACCCTCAGCCTACATAGTATCCTAAATGCGGCAAAAGAGGGAGGGGGAAAAAGAGGAGCATGAGGAAGCAGGAAGAGCGGGATGCGTCAGCGGGAGGCGGGAGCAGGTTGCGCGGGAGGCGAAGAACCGGGAGGGACGGATGGGCGGCTGGGCTCCCCTCCCCCTCCTCCTCGCCCTCGGGTCTTCCTCTTCTCTCCCACCCGCCTCCTGCCCGTCCTCCCTTCTCCCTCCTCGTCCTCCTCCACCTGTGACCTTCGCCCCACCCATGACCGACGACGACGAAGACGAGGACGGAGGCCGAGGCGAGGAACGATGAGGGCAGGCAAGGGTGCCCGCGGCTCGGTCGGTTGGGCTGCTTCGCAGTTGGTTGCGCTCGGTCCGGTTCGGTTCGGTGGGCTGCTGCGCCGTGGGCCGCTCTCGGTCTCGGTCGGTCTCGGCCCTCGCTGTCGCTTCGGGCCGTGCTCGGTGTGGTTGTCGCCGCGGACGCTCGTGGCGCGAGGGGATCGGGGGCAACGATAGGGGGGGATAGGCATAGGGGGGATGCATCTACCCCTAATCGCCCACTGATCGCCGATAGGGGCCCGATGGCCCCAACCTGCCCAGGAAGGTGAGGATCCACTATCGGAGGCGCATCGCCGATCTATCGGTGATGTATCGCCGATTCCAGGTCGATGCATCCCCCCCTATGCCAGTCCCCCCCTCTCGTTGCCCCTCAGGGGAGAGGTGGAACCGCGCGAGTGGGTCGCGAATTCGGGCGGCTTGCCAATCAAGGGCATCCGTGTGTCTTGCGCTATTCGACCGGCGCCGCTTCGGGCGACACGGAACTGGGGGAAGTGGGGAGGAGTCGCTCTCTCTCTCTCTCTCTCTGTCTCTCTCGCTCTCTCTCTCCCTTTTTGTTTCCCCTCTGCAGGAGGACATCCTGCAGGAGCAGGCCACGCCCTCGAACAGGCGCGGCCCCGCAAAGCGGTTCCTGGGCCCACTGGGGCCCAGGTGGGGCGCCGGTCGGTGTACGCAGAGCGAGGATCGAGGATCGCTTCCAAGGGGCTTGGCGACTCGTCTGCGATCGGCTTGCGGGGGTCGAGGTGCAGCTGAGTCGTGCTCCATGCCTGGGCGCCAGCCGAAACTTCGGTCGACTGATCTCGACTTGCGGGTGCCTTGGTCGGCGTTTCAGAGGAACGCCCCAAGTTTGGCCAGAGCTGCAACAAGAACAAACTTGGTCGGAGTTGAGGCCCCAGAGGGTCGGAGTTGAGGCCCCAGAGGAGCCCCACGCCCTCGCGCTCCCCGCCCCCGCCTTCGCCCCTCCTCACAGCGCCGACCTCGAGAATGTCGGCCCGCGCGCATCTTAGATCGAGGTAAACTGGTTCGGGGGCAACAAAGAGGGGGGTGATGACTAGGGGAGGGTGGATATCATGGCGTGGGCCATGATATTTCCTCAGATTTCATGGCGCCTCTTCTTATTGTATTACGTCCCTGCCCACCCGCCCCCCCGGGCCGCGCACATGCCGCCGGCCATGATTTGCACCCCCCCTTCTTGAACGCCCCCTTCTTGGCCGCTTCCGACTAGTACACCCAGAGACATCCAGGTGAATCCTCAGAGCCGCGGAGTCTCAAGCGCGAGCCGAGGGGCAGCCGACGTCGTTCGGCCCTGGGCGAGTCGAGGATCGATCGAGGGTCGAGGATCGAGCCAGGATCGCGAACGGATGCGGCGAGCGGTCGTTCGGCCCTTAGCAAGTCGAGGATCGAGCCGAGTGGGCGTCTGTTGGCCCTGCTCGGGCCAGGGGGGGGGCTCCCGGGGCCGCCAGCAATCGACGCAGACAGCTCCAGGGCCGGCCTCGCCCGCGAGGCATCGAGGGGCCTACCTACTTGTTTTCCTCGGCGGAGCGGGGCTGAAGCTGGCGGAAGCAGCACGAGAACGGCTCCGCAGGGGGGAAGGTTGGAGCACTCCGTTGGGAGCAACACGTGCACGTTCCTGGGAGGTGCCGTCCCTTTTGGACTCGGGACTTGCAGGGCGGGCCACACATACCGTGGAGGCCCGTGCCAAAAAGCATCCTGCTTGCCTCCAGGGTGCCCTGAGTTTCTGGGGTTTCGGTGGTTTTGCCACGGAGAGCGCGACGTTCCCGCACCAGAACTCCATGGACGTCCTCGGGTCTCAGGATCGGGTTTCTCGTGGAAGGTCTCTTGTGGTCGGGCCCCTACTGTACACTGGCGGGTTTCTCCGAAGGGCTTCGGCGACCCGTCCTCCTCCTCCTGCTCCTGCTCCAGGAGCAGTGCTCCTCCTCCTCCTCCTCCTCCTCCTCCTCCTCCTCCTCCTCCATCTACAATTACTCAATATGAATACTACTCTCCCTCTTCCCCTGATGACGTCTTGGGAATACCCCCCGCGTACTGTTTTTTACACACAGGTTTCCCCGGAGTTGGGTTTTCGCTTGCATTTTTTCCGAAAGTGCTGCTCTCGCTGAGGCGCCGGCCTCATTTTCGGGCCCCGCTCGTTCCGAATCGTGCTCCCGCTGCAGCGTTGGCATCATTTTCGCCGGCGCCCGGGCTGCACGCCCGAGCGGGCGCCCGGGCCGGCGCCCGGGCCGGGTCCGGAGCCGGTGCCGGCCGGCGCCGGAAAATCGAGTTCCGAGGCGGCGCCGGAAAAAGGCCATTCTAATACACATTTTTCTTTTGAAAATGCTAAATTTTTTCTTCCGGCCCGGGAGGCCTCCCAGGCCGATTCCGACGCCCAGGCCGGCGCCCGAGCCGGCGCCCGGGCCGGACGCCCGAGCCGGCGCCCGGGCCGGCGCCCGAGCCGGCGCCCGGGCCGGACGCCCGAGCCGGCGCCCGGGCCGGCGCCCGGGCCGGGTCCAGAGCCAGTTCTGTGGCCGGCGCCGGAAAATCGAGTTCCGAGGCGGCGCCGAAAAAAAAAACAATTCCAATACAAATTTTTCTTTTGAAAATGCTGAATTTCTGCTTCTGGCGCCCGGGAAGCCTTCCCCGGAGTTAGGTTATCGCATGCATTTTTTCCGAAAGTGCTGCTCTCGCTGAGGCGCCGGCTTCATTTTCGGGCCGCGCTCGTTCCGAATCGTGCTCTCGCTGCAGCGCTGGCCTCATTTCCGTGCTTCCGCTCGTTCCGAATCGTGCTCCCGCTGCAGCGCTGGCCTCATTTCCGCGCTTCCGCTCGTTTCGACTCGTGCTCCCGCTACAGCGCTGGCGTCATTTTTCGTGCCATGCCACGGCATGCAATGTAATGCCAGGTTGATACTACGCTTCGCAGTGCTCTTCTACGCCATGCCACGCCGTGCTCTACAATGCATCGCGTACCCTTTCGGGATCATCGCCCTGCTTGACATCCGACTGTGCGAGTAGAGAGGGGATCTGCGCCATTGTAAGGGATGGGAGGGAGGGTAGGATGTCAGATATGACGCGAGCGCACCTAGCTTGCCTCCTCCCCCTCCTCCTCCTCCTCCTCCTCCTCCTCCCTCCTCCCTCTCCTCCTCCTCCTCCTCCTCCTCCTCCTCCTCCCTCCTCCTCCTCCATCTCCTCGTCCCCCTCCACCTCCTCCTCCTCCTCCTCCTTCTCCTCCTCCTCCTTCTCATCCTCCTCCTCCTCCTCCTCCTCCTTCTCCTCCTTCTCCTCCTCCTCCTCCTCCTCGGGTCGCCCACGGCCCTGGGGGGAAAGCGTGCAGAGGTGCCGTCATTCTTGGACTCAGGGCTTCCGGGACGGGCCACCCGTACCCCATCTCGTGGCCAGACCTCACCGGGGATCGATGACCGAAGGCCTCCCGACTTCGGGAGGCCTCTTGGAGAACTTCGGGGAACCTCCCTCCAGGCGATTGTTTTTTTACTCCATGTTTTGCCTCCTCTTTCTCCTCCTCCTCCTCCTCCTCCTTTTCCCTCTCCCTCCCCCTCTCCCTCCTCCTCCTCCTCCTCCAGGAGGATGAGGAGAGGAGGAGGAGGAGGAGGAGGAGGATCCTCCTCCTCCTCCTCCTACTCCCTCCTCCTCTACTCCTCCTCCTTCTCCGCCTCCTCTCCCACTCCCTCCTCCGCCCCCCCCCTCCCCCCCCTCGGAATAGACCTTGGCTGGTTTTTGGCGCCTGCTTCGAGCAGGTGGGGTCTCCCCTCATGGGACGCACTGTCGCAAGCATTCGCGCTGAGCAGAGGTCCGGAGCCAGACCCCCCCCCTTCCTTCCGCCCAATGTCGAAACGCCGAATAAAAAACGTTGACCAGGGGATCGGTGCCTGTGGGTAGCTGGCGCCCTTCGGCTTTCTTCATCCTCCCCTCCTGCTCCTGCTGTTGTCCTTGCATAAGTTTCTTCTGCTGTGTTTGTCTTCGCCTTTGCCGACTCCTTGATTATCTCATCGTCTTACAGTCAAGGCGCATCGTGCGGATGCGTCATTTTCCAAGGTTGCCCTTGCATCCTTGCCTCGGCCCATCCCATCGTCCTTAGCCATGGGCCATGGGCTTCCACTTGCGGCTTCGATTTGCATGTCCAAGGGCCTTAGATCCTTAACGCGCATCCGAATGCTTCGGTCGCCCTGTACTTCCCCCTCTGCTTTTCCTGTTCTCAGTGATTCCCCGCGCTCTCCATCCCGCAGACTCCTGGCCCCGCAACGCCTGTGTGGCAGCCCCCGAACAGGGGGAACCAGCTCGGCGGCACTGTGGTCGAGGAGATCGAGTACGACGACGACTTTGAGGAGGCCGGCGAAGAAGACCACGAGGATGGACCGCGACGAACACGCTTGCACACGTACTCCCACAAGCACGCGGTGCGCTCCAGAAGGGCCTCTCCCCTGTGGCGCATCCTGGCCCTCGGCGCAAGCCCGGCGAAAGCAAAACAGTGGCGGTGCACGCCGGCGGAAGCTCGGCGGAAGCTCGGCGGAGGGCGCTGGAGGCAGGCGCGGGGCGTGGGCAGCTTTGGATCCAGGGCTCCGGGTGCCGGCCGCATGTTCGCGTCAGCCGACGCACGCACCTGCGCGCGCGCGTGCACGTGCACACGCGCGCGGGCACGCGCGCGTGTGACAGCGTCCAGGCCCGCGTGCCGAGGCTGGCGTCGTTTCCCCGCCTCTTCGGGCAGGCAGGAGCGAGCCGCGAGCATGGCGCGGGCCTCCCTGTGCGGACCCTCCACACCACCCCTCTCGCACGTCTCGCGCTGAGGCGCTGCCCCGTGGACACGGCTGCACGTGCGGATCCCCACGTGCGCAGAGCCCTATGTGCGGGACCCCGGGCGTCGGGGCCCTGCGCGCGAAGCCTTGAGGGTACAACCCTGTCTTTGGAACCCTGCGCCGAGTTGCTCGGTAAGCGTGGGTGGGCAGATCGCGTGGGGGTGCAATACTGGGCTGTCTTTCGCGGGGCGTGGGGGGGTGGCACGAGGGACGTGCTTATCAATCAACTGGAGTATGTGTGGGGGATCCTAGGGTTGCCGTCGGGTGTGCAAGGGAAACCAGAGTGGGTGTGGAGTCTTGCTGATGGGATGTCATGCGTGGGGCCATGTCCGTGGAACTCCAGGTCTGTGGAACTACATGCGTGTTGAAGCACGACCTGTGCGAATTCCCATGTGCGTGGACCCCATGTTTGTGGAACCAACTTATGTGTGGAACTCCACATTTTAGGCGCTTCGCGTAACCTCACCAGCCCATACGGAAACGATGCCCAAGGGAGTTGCCCTGGTCAGGGACGTGGAGGGGCATGCAGTGAAACGAAGGGAGGGGGAAGCCGTCATACCCCAAGAGTGCTGTCTGGGTTTGGCTCTGGTCAGCAGGGTGGCCCTTCTCCTCGAGGAGCTCGTCTTTGTCGCGTGGACGGTGGCGAGGGCAATCGCCATCTCTGCTGCCTCCGCCGCTGCCGCCACGAGCCTGGACTCGTGACCGCTTCGTTCTCTTCTTGTTCTTGGCCAACCGCGTGCGTTCTCTTCCTCTTGCCGGGTGGTGTTCCCCCTCCTCCTGATTCCTGATTCCTGATTGCGTGAGGAGTTGTCGACTGCGGCTCTCCTCCACCCCTCCTCCTCCTCCTCCTCCTCCTCCTCCTTCTCCTGCTCCTCCTCCTCCTCCTCGCCCTCCTCCTCCTCCTCCTCCTCCCTAGACTCACGCTGCCCTTCTTCTGAAACGCTCCTGAAACGTTCCTCCTCCTCCTCCTCCTCCTCCTCACCACCACCACTCCTAAGAGCATCTTCATCACCACCATCACCATCACCATCACCACCATCACCATCACCATCACCGTCACCGTCACCATCACCATCACCATCACCATCACCATCACCATCACCATCACCATCACCATCACCATCACCATCACCATCACCATCACCATCCTTCTCCTCCTCCAAAAGGGTCCGCCTCAGCCGCCTCCTCCTGCTCCTGCCCCTGCTCCTGCTCCTCCCCCTCCCCTCCCCCTCCTCCTCATCCTCCTCCTCCTCCTCCTCCTCCTTCTCCTCCTCCTCCTCCTCCTCCTCCTCCTCCTCCTTCTCCTCCTCCTCCTCCTCCTCCTCCTCCTCCTCCTCCTCATCCTCCTCCTCCTCCTCCTCCTCCTCCTCCTCCTCCTCCACCTCCCCCTCTCGGCAGGAGGTCTACAGGCCGGTGATCACCCCGGGCCCCTCGCCGGACCCCGACAAGAACGGCCGGGCGGCGACGCGGCCCACGTCGGCGGCTCCCGCGCAGAGCAGCCCGCAGCCGTCCTCCAGGAGCACCCTCCTCCTCCTGCTCCTGCTGCTGCTCGTCCTGCTCCTGCTCCTGCTCCTTCGCCAGCTCCTCCTGCACCCTTGCTGTTCTGCACGAACGACAAGGGGTACGGAAAGAATGGGTACAATGCCCAACAGCTGTTCCCGTTCATTTTGAACAGGGCTCGCTGTCGGTGTCGCCGCGGCCTGTGTCCACTGAAGACAAAATGCCGCCTGCCCAACAGCGGCCGCTATCGGTTTTGGACAACATTTGCTGTTGGGTGTTGTACCCATTCCTTCCGTACCCATATCGGGCGTCCAAATCCTCCTGCACCCTTGCCGTGGGCATTGGACGATGCTACAGGCCGGGGCCAGTAGCCCCGTAATTACTGCCCCTCCTTGTTCATATCGGGTCACTGCTGCTACTGGTTATGCTGCGGGTACCGGTGCTGCTATTGCTGATTCTGCTCCTGTGATTCCTCCTCCCCTTATTCAGCACCCGATGCCCATGCGTCTCCTAGTGTTCCTGACCCTTCTTACCAGTCCTTCTTTCTTCGGCGTGGTCGTCGCCGTCCTCATTGTCCCCGTCGGTTTCCGCATCCCTCCTCTTCCTCTGGAGTTCCATAAGAAAAGGTCCGCCGAGGTCTTCTGGAGGCCTCTCCTGAGATGCCTGGGAGGGAGCAAAAGCGTCCAAAAGCTTGGACCCCTCGAGCCTCGTTCCCCAGTCCTTCTTCCTGCTGTGCGAGCCTCGATCCCCAATCCTTCTTGGGGATCGAGGCCCTCAATCCTTCTTGAAGAAGGATCGGGGATCACCAGTCCTTCTTGAAAAAGGATTGGGGATTCTTGAAGAGGAGGAAGGCTTCCTCCCCTGCGACCATGATGTCCACGTGGTGAGGGCCCCTCCTGTCCGCTCCCCTTCAGGCGTACGCCGCCACGCGCAAGGGGCGCGGCTGACCATATAAGTAAGTCGCGCCTGTCCCTCTACAGGAGGACTATTCAAACATAGTTGTTAAAAATGGTCCATGGGCGATGTTTTAAACATGTTGGGTATGTTTTTGAGATCTGCTGATAATGTTTGATTTGTCCTCCAAAATCTGCCTGTATGGGGACATGCCCGACCTAACCATAGACCGTGTCAGTTCGTTGTTTAGTGGACGTCCCAGGCCCAATGCATCACGGATTCCGCGCCCGTTGCGGAAACCAGGGCCGATGTCGACCCGATTGATCCCATTCGAAAACGCGTGCATCTAGCTCGGTCCAACTCGCTTCGATGTATTGGGGATCCGATGCGGCCCGATTCTTGCACGGCGCAGCAGCGCATCCGAGGCCGTTTCGATCCGAGTTCGACCCCGCGCCGACGCGGCCCGATCCGATGCCCAGCATCGCATCCTCCTCCCTCCTCCTCCTCCTCCTCCTCCTCCTCCTCCGTAGCCATTTTGGCTCAAGCCATTTTGGCTCAAGCCATTTTGGCTCAAGCCGTGCTGCCCCCTCGAGAGATTCAGGGGGTTGCGAACGCGAGAACTCAGCGCGGCACCGCGTTCGCGGGCCTTGTTGTTCAAGTCCTGCCAGCAGGCAGTCCGCTGCTGGCCTTCAGCTCCCGCGGGAGGCCCCGCCAGCAGGCAGTCCGCTGCTGGCAGCCCCCCGTCTGCTCCCGCGGGAGCGCTCCATGGCCAATGTCGATGATGTCCTACTGGGTCCTCGTCGTCCTGAGTGGGCTTGTGGGCGGTGCGGAGCCGCTCACAACTGGGCCAGCCGTATTCGCTGCAGATGCGGCAACGCGGCGCCCGCCCATATCCGCAGTCGCGCCCAAGAGGCGCACAATACGCAGCTCGCCGCCAAGTCCGAGTCTGGAGGTGGAGGTGGGCGTGGAAAAGGAAAAGGTAAAGGCAAAGATGAATCGGGTGGACTACTTCGTGTACAGGCGCAGTTGGACGAGTTGGTCAAAGCGCTTGGACGTGGAGAGTTACCTGGTAAATCTGACAAGTCTGAGGGTAAACCAAAGCGAGCTCCTTGGTACAAAGATCAGGCCACTCGAGATCGAGAAGCCGCTGAAGCTGCTCAACAGGCCGACCCTGGTTCCGATGATGCGAAGAGAGGTCGGTTGGTTGTGCAGGCTAATGAGTTGGAGGAGTCGCTCAAAAAGGTCCCATCAGGTGATGAATTTGATGAGCTGCGTTCCAATATCAAGACAAAGTTGGAAGCACTACGTGGTAATATCAAAGAGCTACGGAATCCAACCACGGCGCACAGGAGGGCCACCAATGAGTTGCAGTGTGCACGACAAGCGGTGGCCCGACAAGCAAAAGAGTTGGAAGAGAAAGAAAAGCAGTTTGAAGAGTTGCGTCAATCGATTGAGGAGCGTAAGACGAAGCTCGAGACCAAGCGTGTTGAAGTGGCAGAGTTGGTTACCGAAGTTGCTCGTACATCTGCTCTGCTGGCTGCTGAGTCTGGTGAGGCGAAGGAACCTTCAGCAGGCATCAAGATCGAGATCGACAACCTCGACCAGATGTACACCAAATACGAAGGTGTCGAGGCCTTCTTCAAGAGTGCTGCGTGGGTGGAGATCCAGAAGAATATTCGTGTGGTTGGCCCTGCTGATGGCAGTGTTGGGGCTTCAGCTGCAAGTGCTCCTGGAGGTGCTGCTGTTGCGGGACCCCCTGGCAGCGAGATGCCTGCAGCTCCCACTGGTGACACCGCCACCGACAAGCGCAATTACTCTGAGCTCGACGCCAACAGTTTGCAGGAGCTCTGGAGTGCAGGAAGCTTCGAAGACTTCCAGGCTAAGATTAGCGAGATGCAGGTCAAGAGGCAAAAGTGCGGCTCCTAGCCCTCATGCTGCTTCGGCAGCGGCCCTGGCCCCTGCAGGCCCTTGGGCAATTTTGAGCCAGAGAGGCCGTCTCAAGTGTGACCGTTTGTCGCCGTGCTCGAGCCTTGATTGCAAGGACCGTCGCAGGAGGCCGGGCAGGGTGATGCCGCGAGTGACTGGATTGCGACCGAAGATTGAGGTTCCCACAGCCCCTTCACTGCTGACGGCGCCGTCGCACATGTTGGAGTCATTCAATGCCAATGGTGGTAAAACGACTTTCAAAAAGCGACTCCAGCGTTCGTGTGCTATGGTAGTCATGGTCCAAGAGACGGGCTACCTGGAGAGCGAGCTCGAGTCGCTGCAGACGTGGATCAGTGGACGAGGATGGCAGGTGTTGGCACTGCCTGCACTTCCCTCTGCTGGAGTACTGCCGACAGCTGGAGTCGCAATCTTTGTTCGTAGTCAATGTGGAGTTCGTGTTCCCCCTGGCCTTTGTGAACAGGTGGTTCAGCATCGGGTGCTACATGTGGTACTGGACCTGCCAGGATGGCCGCCGTTGCATGCCATCAACCTCTACCTCGTGCCGAGCATCGGCGCGACCACTCTGAACGCCAAGTATTTAGCTGCAGTTGGCAAGCAATTCAGTGGGGTGGAGGGGCCTTGCTTAGTCGGGGGGGATTGGAACATGACACCTAGTGCTGTTGAAGCTTGTGGCTTCAGTGCTCTTGCTAGTGCTACCCTCGTCTCCCCATCGCACTACACGTGTAGAGGAGGGACGGGTTCTTCTATCATCGATTTTTTCGGGCTCAACGATCCGTGCATGCGAGCGTTTAAGGCAGTAAGTGTTGACAAGAAGTGGACGGTTCGTCCGCATCGACCAGTAATCTTGGAGCTTGCGAGCAACGGGCATGGTATCCAGCATTTGGTATACACCGCCGCACCCAAGCTTCCAGTCACGGCCCCCATTGGACCTCAGCCTGCTCCCCCTAGTTGGTCGTTCGTCGAGGGTCTCGTCGATCGTTGTTCGGAGTTGGCTCATGATGAGCAGGCTGATCCTGGAGTTGTTTTCGGAGTTTTAAGTGCTGCCTGGGGCCATTTTGCCAAAAGAACTGCCAGGTGCGTAGCTGAGTGCACGGGCACAGATGCTACGAACTTTGCAGGCTTCGGTAGAGATATAGATCCGAGGTGGGTAAGCGTTGACTGCCCCGTCCCCAACATCTCGGAGAAGGTTCTGCTTGCTGAGGGGTGGTCTTGGTTGCGCAATGCTGTGCAGACCCTTCTCCAGATGTCGTCTCACGACGAGGATGTCGAGCAGCAGGTCCTGTATGCTAATGAGGTTGCCACCTTTGCTGCTGACGACTATCCAGGATTTGGTCTCAGTGCTAGGCTAGATAACTCCTGTAAGCATGCACGTGAGTTGTTTGACGATGGGCATCTTGATAAGGATGCTGTTCTAGAGTTTCTCGAGCAGACTACGGAAGATGTTGAAGCTGCCCAGAAAGCTGCTAATCGTGAAGCTGATGCCGATTGGAATTATTGGTGTGAGACTGCGTCATTAGGGGGAGCCAGGGGCCAACATAGGATCACCAAGGTTCGGAGTGCGTGTCCCCCCACGGTCGTCCATGATCCTTTAGGCCCCACGGCTGACCCCCATAGCGTTGTGCAGCATGAAGCTCGCGTGTATCAGGCGCTCTGGAACGCTGGAGCGATTCCCCCTCAGGCATGGATACCTGATAGAGAGTCTTTTCCAGTCGCGAGCGTTGAGGACATACGTAAAGTGATTCGGTCATTTCCTGAGGGCACAGCAAGATCTCTCGATCAACTGCACCCTCGTCATTTTCAGCTGCTAGATGATAGCGGCCTCATGGTTCTTGCTAAACTTTGGCAGTGCTGCGAAGCGATAGGTCTCCTGCCCCGACAATTGCTCTGGGTTTTAATGCCAATGCTGCCGAAACCGACAAGCGGTTATAGGCTAATCGTACTTTACTCTGGCATGTATCGCATTTGGCAAAGGCTCCGCCGCCCCATGCTCAAGGATGTGTTGGATTCTTTGGACCGTGGGTACTGGGGGGCTACTCGGGGGAGGAGTGCTGTGGATTGTGCATGGGTGTTAGCGGCCAGGAGCGAAGCCGATGTTGTCAACCATCGCTGTTCGGTTCTAGTCGTTGCCGACTACAGTAAATATTATGAGACGATTGATCTCATTCAGTTGCGTGATAAATGCATAGCGTTCCGAGTGCCGTCTCCCGTGCTAAAGTTAGTTTTTAATGGTTGGCAAGCCCCAAAAATATTGAGGCCTCGCCAGCATCACTCGCTTGATTGCATGCATGCACAGTTCGGTCTTCCAGCAGGTGATTGCTTCAATGACTTGTGCATAGAAATACACGCAGTTCGTGAATTTGACTGGTTTGTTTCACGTCAGCCATCGCTCGTAAGTTTCATGTCGTACATTGATGACCCAGGCATCCAGATCTCTGCTGCAGACCGGCAGCGAGCCCTGGATCTAGCGGTGGCGGCGGGAAAAGATTTCCAGATTGCCAGTCGTAATATTGGTGCCACTCTGAATGATAAGATTGCTGTAGTTGCGTCATCGGAGGACTTGGCTAAAGATGTAGCAGCAAGTCTCCAGATGCAACGCAAGGTAGTCAAGGAGGCAGTCACATATCTTGGAGTCGATTCGACCGCCCGTTTGCGACGTGCTGCGAAGGGCACAAGACCCAAACTTAGGAGTAGGTTGAAGGCTATGCAAAAGCGTGCCAAAACGATCAGTCAGTTTCGCAAGTTTATAAAGCGCAAGCCAAAACAAGTCCTCCAATGGGGTCCTGCGTACTGGCCTGGCTCCTGCGTCGTCGTACGGCTCTGAAGTCTTGGGGTTCTCGGATGCTGAATTGGCGTCAATACGCAGAACCCAGTCGAGGCGACAGGCGCCCATGCACGGTGGCACTTCAGCTAGTGCTAAACTGGTCCTCTTTGGAGAGTGGGACGTCCGTGCTGCTTTGGGCCCCGTCTTGCAATGGAGTAGGATGGTTTGGATCTCCAAGGTAGCGCCCGAGAGAGCCCTTTTAAGTTTCCCTGCCCTCGTTTCCTTGTGGCAACAGGCTAATGCGAGCAGCGTCGTTGACTGGGAGAATAGTCGAGGCCCGCTCAGTAGAGTTGTCTTGTGTCTCAAGAGGGCAGGTTGGTCGGCTCCCGAGGCTGGTGCTTGGATTGATCACCATCAGAATCCCATCGATATCAGTTTAGTGTCACCCCGAATGCTGCAGGAGTTGTTTGAAGCAGGCCTCCAGAGGCAGGCTGAGCTGGCCTTGGGCCAAAAACTCGGTTTTCCTCCTGGTTTTCGGGCCACTCTGGACCTGGTCAGGGACAAGTTGGTTCCACGTGTGAAAAGTTTCACTCGGCAGCAGCAGTTTTTGTTAAAGTGTGCAGCGTGTGATGCCAATTGGACTGAGAAGAGGGCCCAAGATGCGGGGTATCTTAGTTGTGGTCGTTGTGAGTGTGGGCAGGTAGATACCCCGCATCGTCGCATCTACACGTGTACCAGGCCAGATGTGTTGGCTGCCCGTGAGATTGCTTGCGAAGATGTCCCCAATGAGTCGTTGTAGGTTGCCCTTCAGACGGATGATTGTCTGCACACTCGAGGCATCTTTGTCTATGATGACTCCCAGCTCGTTCCTCCCTCCCTCAGCTCGTCCTGTGAGGTTTTCGATGGGCAGGGTAGCGAGCTCGACCGTCAGCCCGAGGAATTGGCTGCCCTCGTTCCGCCAGGACAGCCGCTTGAGCTCGCGGCCGACGGCTCGGCCACCAAGCAGATGCTTAGGCCGCTCCGACGCGCGGCCTGGTCGATTGCTCTGCTCTCGCCGAGTACGGCAGACATGGAGGCTGTGCTACGAGGCGTTGTTCCAGGCACCCTCCCCCAGAGCCCAGCTGCTGCGGAGCACGTTGCTGCTGCGTTGTGTGGCCAGGTCGCTGATCGCCCGACTCGGCTCGGTCTCGATTGTCTTGGGGTGATCCAGCACGTTCAGAGACCTGTGGCCAAGAAATTAGAGGCTCAGAATAAGTTTTCTGGCATCCGAAAATTCGCTTTTGAACTTGATGGTTCCAAGTTTTTGGAGGCTTTTCATGTGAAGGCCCACCGCTCTGATGAAGAGTTGAACCAGCTTGTAGGTGATGAATATCGGTTCGGCCAGGCCAATAAGATTGTGGACAACCATGCGAAGTTGGCCCTGGCCTCCCATCCTGCCCCCCACCCCAGCCTTCTTGCATTCTGTTGAGGAGGCTGAGAGGAGAGCAGGGATTTTTGTGAAGCTCGCCAGTGCATGCCTCCCGCTCTTTCGGAATGAGATGAGGTGGAGACGTGCCCCGCCTAGTCAGCAGCGGTCTCGAGCCAAGCGTAGTTGGCACGAATGGCGTCGGACTGAGCTTGGAGTTCAGTGTGTTCACTGTCTGATTGTCAGCTCGTCTGGTGATCGCCCTGCTGACGGCTGTCAGGGCACGCCCACGGCGATAGCTAAGTTGCTCGAGAATCCCATGGGCCATTCCCTCGTTGCCGTGTCGGGAACGGCTCTCAAAACTGCTTCTGGTGCTTCCTCGGGTCCTGTTTCGAGTTCTGGACGCACCGAGATAAAAGGAGCAACCATTTTTGTGTCTCAACTGTGGTGGCTGGACTCAGGGAAGGATGATCAAACTTGCTAAGACTTGTGAAGCACCTACGTCTAAGGGCCTCGAGGTTTTGAGCGCGTTTCGTCGGGGGTTAGGGCCAAACCCAAGGTTGAGGGAACGTTTGGATAAGGCCATCCCCATTTCTCGACTTGATGCGACTCTCGCAAGCCCGAAAGAGGTGCAGTCTGTGTCGTCCGTCCCCAGAGGTTTCTCCTCTAGTGAAGAGGCCCCACAGTATGAGCAGAGATTGGCTGCCTTACTCGCCCGAGTTAAGGCCAAAGAAGCCAGTTCTCAATCGATGGCATATTTTTTGTAACCTTGCCAGTCTTTGGTGTGTTCACCTTCCGACCTTTTCCAAGGCGCTGTCTTATCTTATATTATCCTCCTCCTCCTCCTCCTCCTCCTCCTCCTCCTCCTCTCCTCCTCCTCCTCCTCCTCCTCCTCCTCCTCCTCTCATTTCCGACTCGATGCTGACTTGATGTTGAGAGTTGGTCTCAGGCTTTCCGAAAACCCTGGGCAGTCAGAGTCAGATCTCTGCTGTTGATGACCAGATCCTGTCTGTCGCCCTCGGCGGAAGCCGGCGGCAGCCAGCGGAAGTAAAACGGTGGAGGCTCCGTTGGCAGTAGACTAGCGAAATCATCGAAGAAGAAAATGACATACACATTCACTTTTGGCGCTCCGCGCGGATTTTTTGTATCCGCGCCTGGGCCCCCCGACGGCGCTTCTGGCGCCGCCCCTGGCGCGCTCCGCGCGCCAGGGAGGGGGGTCCAGCGCGAATCCAAGAAATCCGTGCGGAGCGCCAAAAGTTTCTATTTATGTGGTTTCTTCTTGTTCTTCTTCTTCTGAAGCAATCATGAGACGTCAATACAGTCGGCCCGGATTAGTAGGTCGACCCTGCCAGCCCAAGGGTACTCTTGTGTCCTGTGCCTCGCGACCCATGCCTTCTTCCACTCCTGTGGCGATGTGGCCCTCGGAAGGGTTTTGTGCCCTCTCGCGCGTCCTCTCCAATCAAGGCCGACTGTATGGTTTGGATTCTGGATTTCTAGGGTCGGCCGCTTGGCGAGGCTCCTGGATCGCTCCAGTCGCCACCCCCTCCCAGGGGCGAAGAGGCGGGGCCCAGCGCGGACGACATCAAGAAGGCCCCGGCCCCCCTGGCGCTGGCATTCTAAGTCGGGCCTGTCCCTCTACAGGAGGAATGCTCAAGAATAGTCAACAGATAGTCTGGGGACGTCTCTTCTAGTATTTTTCAAGATTTCAACATCTTTTTGGGGTATTTCCCATTTTTTGTTCCTCAAATCCGCCTGTAGGGGGACATGCCCGACCCAGCGCTGGCAGCGTCTTGCGTGTGGTAGGGGGCAGCGCTGTGCAGGAGGGCGGTCTACACGGCACGTGTGTAAGGGAGTGACCTCTTCGTGCGGGCCCGTGCGGGCCCCCGATCGTTGAATGCCATGCGACAGGAGCGGCTTGCGCGCCGCACGCCAGAGATCACTCTTGCCGAGGGCCACCCTTGCGTGTGACAAGGTGCCCCCTCCATTCTCCACTGCCTCCTTCCTCTCGTTCGTCCTCTCTTCGGCTGCCGGGGTGGAGCCCAGTGCGCTGCCAGTGCATGGAGCTTCGACTGGCAAAGACAGGGATCGGTTTGTCCTCGTGTCTTCTGTTCTGCTTGTTGCGGGCGCCCCGTGATCTCACGGGTGGGGAGTCCCGCATGTATCAAGCTTGAGGGGCTGCCATTGCAGGCCTTCATCTGTGCCAGCCGTGTCGCCTTGACGCGCGGCTGCGCCAGTGGAGACTCTTATCCTTCTCCTCCTCCTTCTCCTCCTCCTCCTCCTACTCCTCCTCATCCTTGCCCTCCTTGTCCTCCTCCTCCTCCTCCTTCCCCTCCTCCTCCTCCTCCTCCTCCTCCTCCTCCTCCTCCTCCTCCTCCTCCTCCTCTTCCTCCTCCGCAAGACTCAAGTGTGCGGCAGTGTCAGGATGATCCTCGATGCTGTAGCAGCCCTCCTCCTGCCCAGCGCCGGTAGTAGGGCAGCATCAACCAAGAAGGTGAGGAAGAGAAGGATGAACAGACTCTCCTCGTCCTCTTCCTCCCACCCCCTCCCGGGAGCGCGCGCAGGGCATGGGGCAGTGCTGCAGGGATGCAGGAATTCTCTGGCCGTGGGAGGATGCAGCACAGAGCGCCTCTGGCGACGACCCCCTCACCTCCACGGCGCCATCGGCGCCTTGCCCACGCTGAGCGGTGAGCAGTGCAGCAGGGCTGTGGAGGTCTCTGGGCCAGGAAGAGGCCAGGAAATTGGACAGGCATGGAGCGTTCCAGAAATGCCTCGTCTTCGAGATTCGGAACAGTTGGCACTCCTCGTCCTCGGCGGAGAGCGGCAGAAGGCCGGCAGAAGGCGGTGTAAGTAAAACGGGAGCGGCTCCGCCGGCGAGATGGCACGGTTTTGATGGTCAGCGTTTCTGGAACCCGCCACGAGGCGGCTGGCTTGGTCGAGCGCTGAACTCACATGGGCTTTGATGTGTCTCAAACGCTGGGCCCTTCTATTGCTCGCCACGCCAGGCGTTTCTTGGCCTCCAGATGTTCCGCCCGTAGATGTGGCCATGTTTGGTTCAAGCTTCCTGGTAGTTGGTGATTCGAGTAGTTGCCAAGCGCCTCCAGCGAATCACAGCTGCCCCATGTGTCCCTAGAATTCCGTCGTCGTGATTTTCGTGCAACGAGGACCCCCAGAGAGCCCCATGACCAGACGGACCTTGATCAGTCCCGACCCGTTGTTTGACGGTTCCCGGGGCTTGGCGAGGGCCTCCTGGAAACGTGCGATGGACAATTCGCCCCCCGCTTCGGTTTCTTCACGACGAGGCGAAGCGGGGGGCGCGCCTGCGTAGGGGAAGAGCGGGGCCGAAGAAACCGCAAGGTGGGGGCCTTCAGTTTGCGCCAGGCTGGCGGGCGTTCCGAGCCGAGGAGCCGCGTGCCCGCGCCTGGCAGGCGACCTCTGGGAGCGGAGGCGAAACCAGGGAAGTGCCGTGCGCGCGGGCTGGGCCCTCGCGCGTGTACCCGCCGAGGCGGCACGC